AGACAGAAACAGAGAGATAGGGAAAGCGAGAAAGGAAGCTGCCAGGTCAAGACTCGAACCATGGTCAGCCACGTGGGAATCCAGCCGTTTACCACCATGCCACCTGCTGGCCCCTTTAGATTCTTTTATTACCATTACTTACCCTCTCCCTCAGATCTAGCTGATTTCAACCCTAAGAGCCAACTCCAATGAGGGCGATGCCCCTTCTGTTCTAGAACAGTCCCTTGACTACCTACCATTAATACCAACATTATATTTATTTTTATTTGCCAGAGGGTATGTGTGTTTGTCAGAGAAAGAGAGGGAGAAAGCATCCACCCATGGAGGTGTGGTCACACTGCAATCTCTCCTCCCTTTCTCCATGCTGTCAGGATTTTGAGCACGCATGCACGCGCACACACACACGCATGCGCACACACACACACACACACATATGCTCAGCATGTTTTTCAAGCCACCAGGGCTGGGATTTGAACTGCAGTCAGCTATGGGACTCACCTCACTTAACCACTAGGCTACAAGGGCACCCCAACGAGCTCTTTTTAAACACTTGTGTTAGCACATATCTGACCCTCAAAGCTTACAGGATAGGATCTATGCCCAGCCCCTTTATGGATGAAGAGGGTTAGGGCCCTCCGTGGTACATGGCAGGGATGTGGTGAAGTAGGAACTGGATCCAGGTCCTCCGATTCAGATCCTCTGGGCTTCCTGCTTTGTTACGCCCCTGCCTCTCCCGTGCTCTCATCTGTCCTTCCTTCAGGGTGCTTTCCCACCCTGGGATCACCGAATCTCATGCTCATCCCACAGGGAGGCCTTTCGCCCAACACGGCCCTTCTCCCTGCTCCTGCCCAGGTCTGGGTTCACCCTGTCGCCATCCTTTGGTGTCCGAGGGGAAGTGGTGCTTGCAGCACACTCCAGAAAAAGTGGTGATAGCTTCCAGATGAGCTTATTATTCTAAGTTTAACATTCCTTTTGGTACTTAGAATTTCCACGTTCTCCCTTTCACCCCCTTTGCATTTATCTAATTAGAAAGCATGCAACAGGAAACCATTTGTCCCTCTCCGCCCCGTACCATTCGGGATAAAGGCTGTCCCAGCCCCACGGAGTAACATCCTTGTGGAAATAACTTTGCAGAGTTTATTTGGACAGGTTCAAAAATAGTCCTTCAACAATACAATCAGATTGAACCGCGACAAGTAAAATGCAATTACGGCTTGGTTATATGCATAAAAAATGTAAACAGTGAGGTTTGGGAAGCGAAAAGCAGAGCGACAGCGTCATCTCTTCCATTCCCAGTCCCGGCATTTTCTGCGAGCACCATTTCCAGGCTGCATCGCTGGACCTTTTGAAGTGGCTGAGAGGATGACACTCACCGAAGGAGACAGCTCAGCAGAGTGTGTTCGAGGCCGTTTCTCAGAACAAAAGCCTAGTTCTGCGTAAGGCAAATGCAGCCCGATAAAGGCTCCCCCAGTGGGCACTTGGAATGCCAAAGTCATTCACCTAAATGAGTTTAAAATACATATTGTTCTGGGCCAAATTATACAGTGTCGCGCTCAGACTGTACGTATTTATATATGTTGGCAGCGTAGGCCACTTTTGGGGCGCCACAGCTTTATCCCAGTATCCTGTGCCCAGCTGGGTTCCCATCACTCTCCCCCCAACCCATGCATTTCCTTGTATTTGGTTCCAGAAGGGCAGACAAGAAGCAGAGTCAAAAGTTTCACAACCCCACAAGGGAGCAGGGCCCCAGAGGACTTGAATTTCTAATGAAACTTCAAGTAGAACAGAATGTGCGCCTTTGCCAGCAAGTTGGAACTTTCGGAAGGTTGATTTGAGGGGGGCAGGGAGCAGGGACAAGATCAAGCATTGTGCTTTGGGGCCGGTCTCTGCTACAGCTACAAGGCAGGAATACGAAGTGCCTGGAACTGAAAGCAAACAGCCAGCGCTTCCCTTGGTTGGTCTTTGCCCAGGATTCCCTCCGAGAACTGATCAGTGTCTCAAGCACTTAAGTGGACCTTCAAAGGTGCTGGGCAAAGGGATCCATCCAGATAAATGCCTGAAACCTAATAACTCATAAGAAGGGAAGTTTAATCCCAATGTCCTTCTCCGCTCCATATTTTTCTGACATTATCTAGAGAATTCGCAGGTACATTGTGCTTTCTCTTGTCGTTTCTAGATCAGTTCTTTCTGCCTGAATGAAGATGGAAAATAGAAAAAAATGGAGTGGATGGATACTCACTCTTTTTTTTTTTGGAGAGGTTTTCGCTATAGGGCACGTGCGCTCGCCAGACAGACAGAGATATAGAGACAGAAAGCGAGAAATCACCCCCCAGGGGGATGGTCACGCCACAATCCCTTCTCCTCCATTCTCCTCTCGGGATCTTGGGCACGCACGCACACGTGCCCGGCGTGAGTTTTAAGCCACCGGGTCTGGGACGTGAACCGCGGTCGACTACGTGGGAGTCCAGTGACATAGCCATTACGCCAACTGCTGGTTCCCACTCTTTTTAAAAGATTTATTTTATTAATTCATTAATTTAATTTAATTTGACACAGAGAGAGAGGGGAAGTTGAGAAAGCCAGCCACCAGATCCAGGACTGGAACCATGGGAGTGTCCAGCACCTTACCCACTACGTCATTGGCTGGCCCCTGCCGGGATACTCACTTTTAAAGTAAGTATGGAGGGAACCAGCAGGTAGTGTGGTGGTTAAGGTGCTGGACACTCCCATGTGGCCAACCATGGTTCAAGTCCTGGACCTGATGGCTTGCTTTCTCACTTTCCTCTCTCTCTCTCTGTCTCTCTCTCTGGTCAAATCAAAATGAATGAATGAATGAATGAATGAATGAATCTTTTTTAAAAAATAAAGTAAGTATGGAGAAGGCAGGTGGAAGGTTGTAGTTGTTTGGGTTTTTTTTTTACAGGTTTTTGCTATAGGGTGTGCGTGCTCGCTGGAGAAAGTGAGAAAGGACCCCCTTTCAGGAGGAATGGCCATATCACAATCCCATCTCCTCCATTCTCCTCTCAGGATTTTGGGCACACACATATACATGCTGGCTAGAGTTTTAAGCCGCCAGGTCCAGGACCTGAACTGTGGTAGACTAAGTGAGAGTCCAGTGATGTAACCATTATGCCATATGTGGGTCCCTGGCGGTTATTTTCTTCTTAATTACGTGGGTTATTCTGATCATGGGCTGAAGAGAGCCAAGGGGAAACAGTTAAGGCAAAACTCACCTTTGGGCTTTAGATGATGCCAATAAAAAGCACGAGGCACTAGGGGTGCGTGGGGAGCGCACAGGCTGTGGGGTCAGAATGCAGCGGAGTCTGGGAGGTCTGCAGGGCAGAGCCCACTGCTGCCTGTTCAGGCCCACAGCCAGGCACGCTGTTCTGGGACAGGGCGTGGAGCGGGGGATAGGGAGGAAAAGGTGGAGGGGCCTGTCTGCTCCCCAGAAAACACTCATTTACAGCACTTGTAGAACTAAAGGCTAATCTGCGTTCAGCTCTAGCTCTGCACTGCTGCCGGCCTCTCCCCTCCCCGCCTCCACCTTGCCCCTGCACACTGTGGCGATTCTGAGGCCTTTGTAGCCTCTGGGCTGTACTGCGCACTCCTGGCCCAGCCATGGGGCATGCGTAAACACGGCTCACTGGAAGGCTGCAGGGGTACTGTGGTGTGATCAGACCCTGCCAAATGCGCCTGTTTGGCTCAAAAAAAGAACTTTAAAGATAAAATATGCACTCCACCGATGCAGAGCCTTCCTCTCTTCCTATCTGTCTGGAATGCTCCGGTCAACTCAAGTCTCATCCGCAGTCCGTCCTGAGGCAGCCCTAAGGAGACCTGGTTGCTCTTTCTGTTCTCACTTTGTCTACACCTCTCCTTCCTTTTAAAAACAATTACCTTTCAGAATTGTCTTCAATGTGTTCGTGTCTGTCTTATCAGAGGCAGGGCCTGTGCGTCTCTATCCACTGACCTCTGCTGCCCACTGGTGTGTCACTCGGACAGTGCTCCACCGACAGTCTCAGGGTACGGGCAGACGGCATCGAGCTCTGCCCATCTTCATTTCATTATAAAGAGAGCAAGATAAGGGCTGGCCGGGTGGCACGGTGGTTAAGGCGGCTGGATCCCACATGGCCGACTACACAATCCGATTCTCAGACCCGGTGGCTTGAAAAACAAGTTGGGCGCCTACAGGAGAATGAAGGAGAAGGGATGGCAGCATGTCAACCCCCTGAGGGCGCTTGTTCTCTCTCTCCCTCCCTCTCTCTCTCTCTCTCCCTTTCTCTCTACCTCCCCCACTTTCTGTCTCTCTCCAGGGAGTCCTTGTGTACTTTAGCAAATTTTTAAAAATAAAATATACACAATAAAAGAAAAAATTAGATATGAAAACCTGAGTTCTGGGGTTCTACACATTTTCAGAAGAAATTGCTAAAATACTATTTTTGTGTCCAGTCTGCCTGCTCCAAGTGAAACCATAGGAACAAACTCGCAGAGGGGCACCAGAAGCGGCCTTTGTCCTGAAACCTCAGCTGTTAACGTGAATATACAATCAGCCCCAGCCAGGTGGATGTGCCACAAACTCCCCCCACCTCGCAGAAGAAACCCTGGGGCTGCAGCTCAGACCATGTCAAGCTCCATGAAGCTGCAGGACTTGACATTAGTGGAGTGCGCCATCCGATCAGGTTTGCGTCCTGCTCACCCAGCAGCTGTGTGACCTCGGAGCAGCAGGCACAGCTGAGACGTGCTCTGCCAGTTCCACTGTGAGAACAATGCGCAGGCCTTAGAGAGTGGCCGCCACGAGGCAAAGCTCGAGCCGCTAGTCAGCTTCCCAGACCACTCGGCAGCAGTCTAAAGCAGTTCTGAAAACGAAGCATTAGGGGCACATGGGGAGGAACGCACAAGGCCGTGGAGTCAGGGGGCTCTCGGGGAGGAGAGGCGCTGACCAGGTGGTTCCAACTCGGTCCTCATGCCCTGAAACCATGGGCAAAGAGACGAAGGCACGGGGCTTCCTATTTTTGTTTAATTTATTTCCTTCAAGACCATCTCCTTACAATTTCCAGAGAGAATATACAAAACAAAAAACATACTTGGTTTCAAATACATAAGCAGTGTGCTGGAGTTGAAAGCGTTACTGATAACATTGTTACAGAGGATGTCGGCTTACTCCAGGGCACTTCAGTATTCCTGAGGAATAAACGTGATCTCTCTTCCCCCCACAGGGATGTTGTCGGGTTTAAGTCACTGCTCCTGCTCCTGCAAAGCAAGGACACGTGTCGCAGGTTAGAACGATGCTCCTGGTCTTTGACAGCTCGCTCTGATGTGGCCTCGGGTCAGACTCCAGGGACCGACTGGCCAAAACCCAACCGCGCTGTTAGCTTGGAACTGTCTCCCAGGAGGCCGTTTACCTCCCTCCGGGCTCATGAGTGGCTCCCCCAAGCTCAGAGAAGAATGGGATGGAGTAGCACAGGGCTGAACCATTAGTACCTGCAGGACTGGATTCCTAAAACCCACCAAAGTGATCTCAGGGGAGTGACAGGGCATGGTTCCAGTCAAAGAGCCTGCTGGTGATGTTGGGCCGTGGCAACGACGGGCCGCCCCAGGCCAGACCACCCGGGTTTGTGCACCTGCACAGCAGGAGCTCTCCTGAGGGCCCGTTTCTCAGACTGGAGCCCAGTGGTAAGTGACATGTGACTGTCCAGTAGATGACCTTCAGCAAGTTTCTTCACTTCAGTAAGGTTGTTTGTCCTTTGCTAAAAGAGGGCAAGGACGGCTCTCACAAAACCCTTGGGCCGTTTAGAGAGTCTACAGTGCTCCAGAGGGTCCTCAGGGTGTGTCACGCACTCCTCGCTCAGCTCTCCTGTGGGACTGCGCTGTGAACAAGCCCCTGGTGGGGATCTTGCACCTCTTTTCAGAGAAAGCGGAGGATGACAACATCGAGGCACAGACTCAAGTGCAGATAAAGTTACAAGGCCATTCTGGAGAGGTACATTGGAGGTTATGCGAATGTAACAATGTTTTCCACGGCACTCCCAGCCATTACATACATATATAATATGCATGTAATCAGCCCTGAGCTATTAGCCATGACAGCTCAGTTTGGAACAATGGAAACACTTCCAACAATGAAGAGACCTGAAGCTCCTCTCCCTGCTCCTTTCTGTTCTCCCCCAAACTCCGCTCTGCTGCCAGGAAAGTGAAGAGTCGGGGAGCAGTGGGAACGCCTGTCGTCAGCCCTGGCGCCACGCAGCTGCGCCGCTTCCGCACTGCCCCGATGACCTCACCCTCGCGCTGGCACAGAAATGACTGTCAGTACCCTGCCCCGGTGCTCGGGCGCTCGGGCGGGTGGGCAGCAGCTGACAGAGAGTGGGCAGGTCCAACACCGAGGCTGCTGAGCTGTGCTGGGACTGTTACTGGAGACCTGGTGACCTCAGAGCTACAGCTCGGGACCAGAATTAGGACACACATTTGCATGACATTTTCTGCTCCGCTTGTTATTGCGGTGGACAATGGACAAGTCAGTCACCCTTTCTTGGTTGGCTTCAACTAACAACCAATGTTTCTACTAACATGTAGCACCTCACAGCTCGGAGTATTCTCACATTTACTCTTCACAGCAGCCTCATAGACAGAAGTGATTACCTTCATTTTATGGATGGAAAACAGAAGATTAGAAATAAAACAACACGAGGTCACGATGGAAGCAAGTGAGGGCTGCGATCAGGTCTCCGGGCCTGTAACCCCTGCTGCTGCCCGAACAGCGACTCTAGCTCAGGGGGAACCCCACACAAGCACGAGGTCACGATGGAAGCAAGTGAGGGCTGCGATCAGGTCTCCGGGCCTGTAACCCCTGCTGCTGCCCCGAACAGCGACTCTAGCTCAGGGGGAACCTGACAGCAGAGGGTTCCACACAAGCAGGGGATGTGCAGTCCTTCGCTGAAGGTTCCCTTAGATCTAAAAGACTATCATTTACTTCACTCATCCATTTCGTACTTATTTGAATGGCTGCTTTGTTTCAGGTCCTAGGGATACAAAAATAAATAGCACCTCTGACCTTGAGCACCCAGCCTCCCAGGATCCTGTCATTTAAACTCAAAATAACCCATTATCGAGCGACAGGCAAAGGGAAAGGCTATTACATGAGAAAACTTCAGAAAATATGCTACTACCCTCTTCCCCTTTTGAGGCATGGGTAAAATTTTCTACTTTGTTTGCATCATTAAAAATTCACCTGAGCGACCAGCAGGTGGCATGGTGGTTAAGGTGCTGGATACTCCCACATGGCTGACCATGTTGAGTTCAAGCCCTGAATCTGGCGGCTTGCTTTCACACTTTCTCTTTCTCTCTCTGGTCAAATTAAAATAAATGAGTGAAGAAATAAAATAAAATAATTCTTTAAAAAAAAATTCACCTGAGGGCTAGCTCCAAGGCCGACAGTTAAGGCAGCTGGATCCCACAGAGCTGACTGCGTGGCTGAGTCCCGGACCCAGGGCTTGCGAGCCACACCAGGTGCATGTGCACGTGTAGCCAACATCACCAAGGACGGAGAGGTGCAGGAGAAGGAGTGTAGTACGACCGTGTCCCATGGTTTTTCACTTTCCCTCCCTGTCTTTCTCTGGCAGGCACTTGCGCCTTCTGACATTTTTTTTAAAATTTAAATTAAATCTACCTAAGAAAAGGACTTTGGCAGAATCACATGGGACTTACAGTTAATAGAAAAGTATAATAATGGCTGAGTCCCAGCTGTCTTTAGGTTTAGCTTGAGTATGTGACATGTTTACAGGGCACCTGAGACCTTGAACGAAAAGTGCTATTTACAGATAATGAACACGAATCTACTTTATCATCAATGGCACACTTTCAGGCAGGTTCGCCAGCTCCAATTAGCTAACACGTGAGCATGTATCTGAATGCACATTTGTATCTGACGGCACAGGTGCGAGACTTTTAGCACCAAAACAGCAAAAGAGCACGAAAGGTCAGAGAGCAACTAGGAACGCTGCCATAGGCTACAAGGACACAGTGTGTCCTCACATACTCTCTAAGGGGTTCAAGAAAAAAACCTCTTTTACTCCTTCTTTTTAAATTTTTTTAATTTTTCTTATTTTATTTATTCCTATGTTTATTGGAATTTTACCAGAGAGGGACAGAGAGAGAGAAAGAGAAAGAAAGTGAGAAAGCAAGCCGCCAGGTCTGGGACTCAAATTGTGGTCAGCCATGTGGGAGTCCAGCACCCTTAACCACCATGCCAACTGCTGGTCCCCTTCTTCTTCTTCTTTTTTTTTTTTAGAATTATTTTATTTAACTTTATTACTGTTATTATTTTTAAAATTTTGACCAGAGAGGGACAAACAGAGAGGGAAAGTGAGAAAGCAAGCCACCAGGTCTGGGACTTGAACCAAGGTCAGCCATATGTGAATCCAGTGCCCTTAACCACCACGCCACCTGCTAGCCCCAAGAACAACCCTCTTTTACTTCTGACGGGAGGAGGTACCACTTTCATACATACTTTGACATATTTCCCATGGAGAAGGTACGGAGCCTGGAAATCGTGCTGACAGTTGGAGTAGGCCATCCCCAGTCCCATGCCAGAGCCAAAGGCTAACGGCCACACTCTTCCTAGTGAGCAGAAAAAGAAAAATCCCAATAGGGAACCATTAGGAGCTGATAAAGCTCTCCCCCGCACCTAACATCCATTTGCACAGGGCAATAAGCACTCCGTGTGCATTATACCAATGACTATAACGCATTTGTATTCAGTCAGTGTGCCACCAATGGCCCAAAAAAGGGTAGGCTGACTACAAATCGTATTAATTTAGCACATATTAAGTACCTATGTCACTAGGTTTGAGGAAATAAACGGTACAATATGGAAATAGTAGACACAGTTGACCTTGCAACTCTTCTATCAATTCTAGTCATCTATTCAGTTTAGTTTCTTAACTTTATCAGGAGTAATAATGTCTTCTGGTAAGGTACTTGAATTTTGTGGGGTTTTAAAATTTTGGGGGGGGGTAAAGAATTCTTTTACTTAACTTTATTTACTTATTTATTTTTAACTCAACCAGAGAGGGACAGAGTGAGAGAGAGAGAGAGAGAGAGAGAGAGAGAGAGAAAGTGAGAAAGCAAGCCACCAGGTCCGGGACTTGCATCACATTAGCCACGTGGGAATGTCCAGCACCTTAACCACCACGCTACCTGCCAGCCCCAGTACTTGAATTTTTTGAAATATGTAAGAATCCCATCAATACTTACATAGTTTGATTATAGCAAGTCATGGAGTTTACTGAAGCCAATCTGTAAAGGATCCTTTAAAATCAGCACTGTGGGGCCAGCAGATGGTGTAGAGGTTAACGCGCTGGATCCCACATGGCCAGTGTGTGGTTCCAGTCCCAGACCTGGCAGCTGGAAAACCACACCAGGCATATATGTGTGCACCCAAAATCCCGAGAGGAGAGTGGAAGAGAAAGGATGCAACGTGGCCATTCTCTCAGGGGTCGGGGAGGTGCTTTCTTGCTGTCCCTCCTTCTCTGCTGTCTCTGACTCTGGTGAGCATACCTGCCCTACAGCAAAAACTAAAAAGCTAAACTAAAAAAACCCCAGCACTCTGTTAGCTATGATGCTCTAGTGTGTATTCCTACTGGTTCTTCATGGAAAGAGGTCACACCGACCCTTTGGCTTCTTTTCAATATCCAGACTTCAGAAGTTCTTCCACAGAATGAAAGGGAAGCTGCTTGCCCTCTGCTTTGGAGAATTTTTGGCCACAATGCCTGTGTATTTCTGATCCAATTTTATGACTAGCAGGACTCTTATTTGCAAGCTCCTTTAGAAAAAACTATAACTAATTAGAAATATTTGAGCACGTAGATTTCGCCAAATGACTCACAAGCATCAAGTACAGGCTTTTGAAATGCTATCATGTTTAAGATATGGAGCACCCTGACTCAATGCCCAGGGGGGATTCTGAAGAGGCCCAACCCATCTGGACCTCTTTCCCGTCCTCATTCTTGGTCTAGCTCATTTTGCAATGGCCTCCCTAACCCCATAAGCAGATGTCTTGGCAGCCCTCTAGAAGTGCCTCCTGAAAGTGTCCCTCTATGTATATGCACACACCGTGACTCTGTGCTCAAGTGGTGATCAGAGTCACTTACTTTTAAAGAAGGTAAGCGAGAAGACGATTCCTAATCCAAAACCAGTACCTACAGAGACAGAGAAAACATGTTAAATTTCATAGTAATAACTTGACAAAGATAACTCTAACATTTCTTAAATAAGAACATCGAAAAATTGTTTCCATAACCTGGCAGAGTTGATTTTCTCATTTTTAACCACCTTTCTCATTGTCAAGGGTTTTTTTTTTTTAATATTTATTTTATTTTATTTATTCATTCATCTATTTTTTTTTTTTTAAATTTGACCAGAGAGAGACAGAAGGTGAGAGTGAGAGAGAGAGGAAGTGAGAAAGCAAGCCACCAGATTCAGGACTCGAATCCTGGTAGGTCATGTGGGAGTGTCCAGCGCCTTAACCACTACGCCACCTGCTGGTCCCCTGTCAAGGTTTTATAGATGTCTTTGGTCCCTCAGGCCACAACAAGAAATAAAAACCTGACTTCTCATTCTGTCTGGACAAGTGATGGGGTGTGAAGTGGGGGAGGGAAACAAGCCAAGAGCTGTTGAGCAGACCTTTCTCCACACTTTTTTTTTTTTTTTTTGAGAGGTTTTTGCTATAGGTCGTGTGCGCTCACCAGACAGAGACAGACAGAAATCACCCCCCAGGGGGATGGCCACATAGCAATCCCTTCTCCTCCGTTCTCCTCTTGGGATCTTGGGCACGCACGCACACGCGCCCAGCGTGAGTTTTAAGCCACCGGGTCCGGGACTCCAACCGCGGTCGACTACATGGGAATCCAGCGACATAGCCATTCCGCCAACTGCTGGTCCCCCTTTCTCCAGATTTCTGGCAGTGGCACCCATCGTGAACCCTCCTATCCCTCTTCCGTAAGGGTGCCAACAGTCAAAAATCAGAAAACACTGCCAACAGGAAGTTCCCCTCCCACTCCAGCACTTTTGAGCAAAGACTACTTGCTGAGAGATGGAAAGGAGTGAGCTAGAATAATTCCTAAAGGCCTAACGATCACACAAGTCAGAGAGTACCCAGACAGAGGAAACGCGTGTTCCTCAAGACCACGTGGAGCTTGATCTCAGAGCACTGTTATCTATCTATATATATTTTTCTTTCTTTCTTTTCTCCTTTTCTCTCTCTCCTTCCTTCCTTCTCTCCCCTCCCTTTATCATTCACTTTCTTTATATTTTTCTTGCCAGAGGGTGAGTGGGCCAAAAAGAGGAAGAGGAAGAAAAAAGAAAGAGGAAGAGAGGAAGAGAAAGCACTCCCCAGTGGGGGAGAGGTCACACCAGAGTCCTTCCCCCCCCTTCCCATCAAAATTTTGGTCTCACATGCACATGTACCCAGCGTGTTTTTTCAGCCCAGGGTCAGGATCCAGGTTCCTTAACCACTATGTTATGGGGCCAGCTCACCACTATTTTTCATGATGAAAGACAACAGAGAGTTTAATGGTCTGGTAGAAAAACATTTTAAAAACCTCATTTTAAATCAACGTTATAATCTAAGTTTGGAAAGAGGAAGACTGTATTAAAAAAAAAAAAAAAAAGAGCTCAAATTCTCATTTTTACCAGTATTTCTCAAACCTGGTCATTCTGGCACTACTTTACCAATTTCCACTAAATCAGCAGTTGCACTGTGATTTATTTAAATAAATATTTTTTTTAATTTTTTTTTTCTTTAAGCATCTATGTATCCGGGGGCTGGCAGGTGGCATGGTAGTTAAAGGGGCTGGACTCCCACATGGCTAACCACGGTTAGAGTCATGGATCTGGACCTGGTGACTTGCTTTCTCTCTCTCTCTCTCTTTGTTCCTCACTGGTCAAATTAAAATAAATGAATAAACAAATAAAGTTAAATAAAATAACTCTTAAAAAAATGCATGTATCAGAACCAGAAGATGGCATAATGATTATGTCACTGGATCCCTATGTAGTTAACTGTGGTTCAAGTCCCAGACCCGGTGGCTTAAAACTCACACCGTGCACGTGTGTGTGCGTGCCCAAAATCCTGAGAGAAGGATGGAGGAGAAGGGACTGTGGCATAGCCTAACCCCCTGGGGAGTGATTTTTCTCACTTTCTGTCTGCTTGTCTCTGCTTCTCCAGCAAGTGTACATGCTCTATAGCAAAAAATCTCTACAAAAAGAAGCATATATTAAATTTAGCTTCAACTTAACAATAATAATGCATGTATTCAATAAATTTAGCTTCAACTTAAATAAATAAACTGGTGTACTAAGTGTATTTTTTCCCCACAAAATGTAATAAAATAAAGATATGTGGGGGACTGGCAGGTGGCATGGTGGTTGAGGTGCTGGTCTCCCACATGGTCAGCCATGGTTTGAGTCCCAGACCTGGTGGCTTGCTTTCTTGCTCTGCCCTGCCCACTCTGGTCAAACTGAATAAGAATAATAAATAAAGTAAAATAAATAATCCTTAAAAAAAATACAATGTTTCTGGGACCAGTTTTCTAAAAAGTATTTTATTTAACTCTATTTATTATTATTATTATTATTATTTTTAACTTGACCAAAGAGAGACACAGAGAGAGAGAGAGAGAGAGTCTCAAGTCACCTGGTCAGTGACTCGAACTATGGTCGGCCAAGTGGAAGTCCAGTGCCTCAACCAACACACCATCTGCCAGCCCTCTGGTATCACTTTAAAAAAATTATCTCACATACTACAGTGATTCACGTGTATGTCTAATACTTTGAGAAAAAAATCTTTCCTTTATTAAAATATAAGCTACACACATGAAGGAGGACAGTCAAAATCTAATCCTCATTTTTCAGCCTTGATAGAAAACTGCTTTCAAAGACCTTCCAGAGAATTCTGATGCTGTTTACTTAGCATCTGCTCCACGGTCCCTTGACCAACCTCTCTACAATTAAGTACCTGCTAAAAATCCCAAACTCATTTGCCTGACTAGTTTTTGAATTTGTAAATTTAAAGTTAGAAATTATAATTGTGTGGGGCTGGCAGGTGGCATGGTAGTTAAGGCACTAGACTCCCACATGCAGACCGTGGTTCAAGTCCCAGACCTGGTGACTTGCTTTCTCATTTTCTCTCTGGTCAAATTAAAATAAATAAGTAAATAAAAACAGTAATTCTTTTAAAAAGGGATTATAATTGTAAATATAAAAACAGAAATCCCACGTTTCCTTTCTACATTTTAGGCCAGTACAAAGTAAAGATTAAGAGTGCTCATCAGTCAACCGAGCTGACCCTTCTGCTATAAACACAGAACTTCGTCATAAGCAAGCAAGCTAATCTGCTTTAAAAAAAAAAAAAAGGAATTCTTGTATTTATTTATTGATTTATTCCACATGAGTTTTCCCAGAGAAAGACACAGAGAGAGAGTTAGAAAGCAAGTCACCAAGTCAAGGACTCGAACCATGGTCACCCATGTGGGAATTCCAGAGCTTTAACCACCATGCCATCTGCTGGCCCCTTTACTTTCTTCTTTTTTTTTAACTTGCCAAAGGGTGCACGCATTAGTGGTAAGGTGTGAAGAAAACACTCTATGGCTTACAATCCCTCCATCCTGTTGGGATTTTTTCAAGCCACCAGTCTGGAACTTGAGCCACACGGTCAGTCATGTGGAATACAGGTGCCTTAGCCACCAGGCCATGAGCTGGTCCCTACATATTTTTTTGATTCCACCTTCCAGCTGCTGTTGGGCTGGAGAAGTACGTGTGCTATTCACATCGTTCCTTCTCTCCTGTCATCTATATGGCCAGGATGTTTCTTTCATGTATCTATGACTGTATCCTATACAAATAGGAATTTTAATTAAAAATCGCTAATTTGGTCCATCCAGCAGACCCTGTATTAGGTACCATTTCGATGTCCAACTGTAAATGCAATATCTGAAAAGGACTATGTCATCCTAAATTCCATATAACTTAAAATGGTAGAAAACTAGTCAGCTTATAGACCACAATCAAGACTGACAAAATGAAGAGGGAAAGGAACCAACACTTTAGTAATGCCCATGAGTACCCAGCCTTCCCTCCCAACATGAAACATTCTCTTTTCAATCAAACTATCTACTATGGCAGCATCTCCCATTTTCCAGACGCAGAAAGTAACCTGCCCACGGAGCCCGTCTCCTTAGTTGCAGAGCAGTGAACTGAGCTCAAGTCAGGCAATGCCACTGTCCTCGCTAGGTCCAGATACTGACACCTCTGAACAATCACTACCTCCTTTATTTTCTTTTTAATATGCTACAGGATGTATGCATTCAGTAGAGACAGAAAGTGAGAAAGCACCTCCCCCAGGGGAGATGGCCATGCCACAATCCCTTCTCCTCTCAGGATTTTGGGCGAGCACATACACATGCCCAGAATATTTTTTAAAACAATTATTTTATTTAACTTTATTTATTTATTTTAATATGATCAGAGAGGGACACAGTGAGAGAAAGAGAGAGAGAAAGCGAGAAACCTAGTCACCAGGTCCGGGACTTGAACTGCAGTTGGCCATGTGGGAGTCCAGTACCCTTAACTACCATGCCACCTGCTGGCCCCTACCAGAGTATTTTTTGAGCCACCAGTACAGGCCTTGAACTGTGCTGTTGGCCATGTGAGATCCAGCCACCTTAACCATAAAGGCATGGACTGGCCCAACAATCACCACCTTCTGAGAC